AACAGAGTCCTGTTGGGCTGCATTTAGATGCATTTCTAGAATTGAGAGCAAATACAAGACAAAAGAGCAGCCTGACAGATCAGGGCTCATTCCGCCCCCCAGAAGATGCTGTCTGGCTGTTTCTATTATCCCCATCGAGACCAGGTCGGGTTCATTTTTAACAAGCACCAATGTGGCCTTTGCTACAATTTTCATTTCAGGGAATGATACAAGAAACAAGTTCTATAATTCATGCCCATTACAAGCGAGTACAAGAAGACCTCCCTGTTGGCATGAACTCTCCGGCATCCTGCATTCCGGGGACTTCAAATCAAAACCTTGTCTATGGAAAGATCCAAACCTCGGATTCCAGCAGCTTTGCAGGCGCTGCTGCTGAGGACGGGCTCTTTGTTCCACCTCCATCAAACAAGTGCTTCAGGGCTGCACTCTGGCACCCCTCATTTTCCAGCGTGGCCACAGCGCTTTTCTGAGCCTAAAAGCTTTTCAGTTCAGAGGCAGGATCAGCCCTGGCAAACACCCGCTCATCCCCACAGGGCTGCCACTGACCAGGGGCACAGCCAGGACCTGGCTCCCCAAGAGCTCCTCACGTGCAGGCAGCAACACTTCATCGTGTCCTTACTTGCAGAGAATGAGAGTGAGCACTTGGGTTGAACCTGAAGCCATGCACAAACCCCAGGTACCCCCCATCCCTTCCCTGGAAGGAAGGGCAGGAGCCAGCCTGGCTGCTGGTCCTTCAGTGCGCTGGCGAGTGGGGACCCTCTCTGAGCGGGAGCTGGGAGGGATGGCGTCCTGGGAGGGAAATCTCACTGCTGCTTCCAGCCCATCAGCAGCAGGACCTGTGTGCAGTTATCCTGCTTCCCACGCCCTCCTCGCACACACAGGATCCCCCTCGCCTGTTGGGCACAGACTTCCCAGGTCTCAGCCACACCAACAGCACGAGGTGGGAGCAGCAAAAGACAAACTGTGGGAGAGAGACATGGGATGAAATGCAGGGTGCGGACTGTGCTGGTGGCAGACGGGTTGGCTGCTGCACGGCTGTTTCCGGCTCAGCACTGAGATCCACAGCTGGTGCGGGAGCAGCATGGACACCACAATCCAGAGGGGCTCACGGGACCCCCTCCTGCAGCTCCACGGCTCATCCCACCTCCAGATTTGTCCCGGCCCTGGGCTGTGGTGACCCTGGGAAAGCAGCTGAGACCCCCAGTGCCTGCCTGCCCGCATAGGATGAGGGCTCTTGCCTCAAGCTGCCTGCACAATCTCTGCTGCAGGATCCAGTTGAGCATCTGCCGAGTGGCACCTTTGGGGCGATGCCGTTTGCAGCTTTTCTCTCTGAAACAGTTTCCATCCCACCCCGCTCTGTTAAAAACTTCCCAGAACGGGGATGGTCCCTCCCTGCCCTCGCATCAACCCTTTGAGTGCTTTGGAACCCCCTTAAGCACCTTTCATCCTCCCAAGCCCCCCTCAGGCCAGGCCTCGCTTGACCCGCACCGGGAGCAGTGTGTTGCAGCGTGGTCCTGCCTCCCTGTGTGACCCCGTTACTTCCCGTGCTGCAGAGGAACGGGCTCCTCTAAACCCGAGTGCTCTGGTGACATCCTATCACCACGGAGCCGTCCCTGTGTCAGACCCCTCCCTGTGACACAGTACTGAGCCGGGCAGCTCCTGTAACATTGCAACTTTCTTGTTGCTTTGTTAAGTTGGGCTCTTCAATCTCCTTAATGAATAAGAGAATCAAGCCAGGTAATTGATGCTTGGCCATTTAGCTGATGAATAATTGACTGTCTGGGTAATCCTAGATAGTTCCTGATCAGATTGTGCAGTGGAACAGCCGTAGCATATGGGATGGTGCGGGGCTCATGCTTCTGGGGCTCTGCAGTCAAGGGAGGGGGTTCTCCCCCTTTACTGTGCTCTGGGGAGACCTCCCCTGCAGACCCGATCCAGCTCTGGGGCAGCAGCACAAGAGAGACGTGGAGCTGTTGGAGCGAGGCCAGAGGAGGCCACGGAGCTGCTGCGAGGGCTGGAGCAGCTCTGCTCTGGAGCCAGGCTGAGAGAGCTGGGCTGGGGCAGCCTGGAGAAGAGAAGGCTCCTGAAGGGGAGACCTTAGAGCAGCTCCAGTGCCTAAAGGGGCTGCAGGAAACCTGGAGAGGGGCTTGGGACAAGGGCCTGTAGGGACAGGCCAAGGGGAATGGCTTGAACCTGCCCGAGGGGAGACTGAGCTGAGCTCTTAGGCAGAAGCTCTTCCCTGTGAGGGTGCTGAGGCGCTGGCACAGGGTGCCCAGAGAAGCTGTGGCTGCCCCATCCCTGGCAGTGCTCAAGGCCAGGTTGGACACAGGGGCTTGGAGCAAGCTGCTCCAGTGGAAGGGGTCCCTGCCAGTGGCAGGGGTTGGAGCTGGAGGAGCTTTAAGGTCCCTTCAACCCAAACCAGGCTGGGATTCCAAGATTTTGTGAAAACAAAATGCTGCATCTCAGCACCAGAACATAGCATGTCAATCTTGAGCAAGGTCTCAAAACCCCAACTTCCTTTTCAGATGGCCAGTTGAAGACAAATGTGAGAGCAACAGGAAACCTGCCAGGACCTGGGATGGGCAGGACAGGAAGCCAAGGCTCCACCAGAGACAGAAAGCAGGTACACCTTTGCTCCCCCTGCAAGCAAAGGGGAAGTGTCCTTGTGTTAGCTGTGCTTCAGCGCACTGGGAGGTCTCAGAAGGTGAGTGCTGCAGTGGTCTGCTCCAGAGGAGCCAGATTTGCTGTGGCTGTTTTAAATAGTAATATAAGAACATGCAATGGGGCAAGTTATGCTTGTGGCTGTAATGGGTAACACTGCTCACAGTCAGCATGAAGACATGGAGTCAGCGTGAACCGTGTGTGAAGTAACACATGGTTGTATTTCAAACTTCCCATCAGCCCTGTGTAAGCATTTACTATAGCATTTTTAAACTAAACTGAATTAATGCCATGAAGCCAAGAGCTTATCGCCAGCGCGCTGACTGTGATGGGCTTTGAGTTACATTCCAAATAACAACAGAATATTTTGGTGTATTAAAAACCAGAACCTTTGAATCGTGATCAAGTGCAAAATAGCACATGCTTTGAATGTGATTTTTCCCTTCAGATTTTCAGCGAGTCTCTCATGATGTTTCATCAGGGTTTGGTGGGTTTTTTCTTCCAGAAATACCATTAATTATTTACCAGTAGGTGAATGATCTCTGAAATCTATTGCAGTGACACCTTTGAGCCTGCAGATAGTTTCTGATGGCAAACCACCTGAGCTCTTTTAACTTGTTATTGTTTATCCTTTGGACTCCTCTCCCCTGTTTGTGAGGTGTAACGGCAGCCAACAGGGCCAGGAACATCAATATTTCACAGCTTTAATTACAGGGAGCGCAGCAGCTCCATTACCCAGCCCAGTTTCGTTCAAAGCAGCTGCTGTCAGGAGCGAAGGAAAAACCTGTGCTTGGAACAGGCAGCAGGGAGTGTGTCCGGGTGGGCTGTGACAGAGAAGTGCTCAGAGCTGGAACCCCAACCTGAGCTCCATACCCAAGGGGTGATGCTCAGCTGCAGCGCAGCCTCCGGACAGCCCTCGGGAATTGGGAAGGAGGCGTTCCCACTTTTCTGTTTCCTCCTTGCTTGAAAAGGAAGGAAACAACAAGGGAGAGATGGAAAAAAGATGCCGGCCCAGTGCAAATGATCCTGGAGCCAGGGCAGATAGATGTGCTCTCAGCAGCAGGCGCTGCCTCTGGCTTTACCCCCAGCTTCCCATTCAGATCCTCTTCTTTATCTGTGTTAACCAGACAGCACTGGAGGGAGGGAGGGTTCAAAACAAAACCAAACAAAGACTTGAAATTTATCCCTCTATTAATTACTCGCACCCCAGCAGGGCTGCTGTAAATATGGTGCCACTTCAGATAAAACTTTCATGCAGCTCTTTAGGCCCTCTGAAATATAAATGATTTCCTTTAAATGTTTCATCGCAAATCAGGGCTCGCAGCTTTGCCGCAGCCAGCGCAGCGCGGGGAGGAGGCCGCTTTGCCAGCTCCCTGCTCCCGCAGCGCGGAGACCCCGCGCTCCGACCCCGCTGCGCGCCCCGGTGCGGGGACCCCGCGGCCCTGCGCACCCCATGGCGCTCTCCGCGGTGCTGCGGCCCCGGCGCTGTCCGTGGTGCTGCCTCCCGGAGCCCTCCTCGGCGCCGCCGTCCGGTTCCCCCCCCGCTCCGGCGGGCAGCAGCTCCGCAGCCCGTCACTGCCGCCGCTCCCGCGCAGGGCCCGCTTGGCGGCGGTGTCAGGGAGCCGGGAGAGCGGCCCCTGCGGCCCCGGTCTGCTGTCCCTGAGCCCCGCAGAGCTTTCGGAAGCTTTAAATCCAGCGGCAGGTTTTTACTTGGGTGGTTTCAGCCCTGCCGAACCCGCAGCGGGCCCGGACCATCGAGTGCCTGAAGAGGTGCGAAACCTGGACCACTCACGAGCGGAGCTGTGGAAATGTCGGGGCGATATCTCCCGAGGTGTGAGGGAATGCGGGGGGCATTGGCAGCACTGGGGGGTCTCTCCCCCCTCCCGCACCTCCAGCCCACAACACCCTTGGCAGCGCTCGGAGCCCCCTGCTCGTTTTACCACGCCCCGCGCTCGACACCGCTTTTCACGGGATTGAACCCGAGCTCCGAGGGGGGGAGCGGGCCCGGGCCGGCAGCAGCCGGTACCCCCGGCACTGGTCCTGTCCGCGGGAAGCTCCTTGCGGCCGCGGCCAACGGCGTGTCCCCGGGCCCTCCGGTCCCGGAGCGGAGCCACTGCCGATGATGCCCGGGGCTGCGAGTGGCTCCGGGCCCTGACGGCGCGTCCCGCCGCCCCGAGCAGAGCGCTGAGGAGGGCGGCCAGGAGGTCCCGCTGCCCGTGTGTCGCCCGCGCGTTGCCCGCGCTGCCCCACTGCACAGTACCGCACTGCACAGCACAGAGCAGCACAGCACCGCACTGCACTGCACTGCACTGCACTGCACGCCTGCGCGGGGCCCGCTCCTGGCAGGCAGCATGTAAGATGAGTGAAGATGCGGGGGGGGAGCGGGCGCGCAGAGGCAGCGCTGCCATCGAACATCGCTCACTCGGGCAGCGGCGGGGCAGGGAGCGAGCCCCAAGTCGATGCCAGGGGCTGCACACCCGCGAGGGGCGCAGGACGATGGCCCTGAACGCCAAGCAGCCCTTCACCATGCCCGCCGCCCTGCAGGAGCCCAAGTTCTCCAGCCTGCACGCCAGCGCAGAGGCGATGCGCAGAGTTTGCCTCCCGGCCCCGCAGGTACGTAGACGGAGCGGAATTACCGCTTTGAGGCACATTTTCTGACAGGCACCGACTTAATGTTTTTTTCATGTCACCAGAAACACTCGCGCGTCTCGGCGCCCCTCTCCCCCCTCTCCCGCTCCCGTCTCTGATCCGCACGTCTGCGCGAGCTGCCTTCCTATTAATTTTTATGACCTGAGCTCCGAGGAGGTGCCGGGGCAGGTTTTTCAGCCGGAGATGACAATATTCCCCACTGACTCCGCCATGCGCGTTCTTGCTCGCAGCTCCAGGGCAATATATTCGGGAGCTTTGATGAGAGCCTGCTGGCCCGCGCGGAGGCTCTGGCCGCCGTCGACATCGCCCCCCACGCCAAGGGCCTCCCCCACCACCATCATCACCCCCCCTTCAAGCCGGACGCCGCGTTCTCCGCCATGAGCGGCGTCCCTTGCGCCGCCGCCGCCCTCCCGCTGCCCGCCGCACTCCCGCACCCGCTCCCGCACCCGGCGCTGGACGGCGGCGACCTCCTGGAGCACCTCTCCTCGCCGCTGGCCGTCGGGGGGCTGCCCGAGCCGCTGCCGCCGCCGCTGCCGCCCGCAGCCCCCCTGGCCCTGCCCGTGGGCGCCCCAGGGGGGCCGCCGCCGCCACCAGCCGCGCCCGAAGTGGGGTCGGACCCGCGGGAGCTGGAGGCCTTCGCGGAGCGGTTCAAGCAGCGGCGGGTGCGGCTGGGGGTGACGCAGGCCGACGTGGGGGCGGCGCTGGCGGCGCTGCAGCTGCCGGGGGTGGGCGCGCTCAGCCAGAGCACGATCTGCCGCTTCGAGTCGCTGACGCTGTCGCACAATAACATGGCAGCGCTGCGGCCCGTGCTCCAGGCCTGGCTGGACGGCGCCGAGGCCGCGCACCGCGACGGCGCCGCGGGCCCCGACCTGCTGCCGGGCGCCGAGCGCAAGCGCAAGCGGACCTCGATCGCCGCGCCCGAGAAGCGCTCGCTGGAGGCGTTCTTCGCGCTGCAGCCGCGGCCCTCCGCGGAGAAGATCGCGGCCATCGCCGAGAAGCTGGACCTCAAGAAGAACGTGGTGCGCGTCTGGTTCTGCAACCAGCGGCAGAAGCAGAAGCGCATGAAGTACTCGGCGGTGCACTGACGGCGCCCGGGCCCGCCTCACCGGCACCGACAGCCCCGACGGCGCCGCCTCATCGCACCCCCGGGACGGGACGGGACGGCCCCGCGCATCCCCCGGCGTCTCCGGGACATCCCGGACCCCGGGACCGGAGCCGATCGCGGCGGCGGCGGAGGGTCCGCGGTTTCCCGGACGGGCAGCGCCGCCCCGGGCAGAGCCGCCGCTCCCCGCTCCCCCCGCCCCGGAATAAAGCTTTATTTTTCCACCCGAAGAGACGTGTCTTTCCTCGCCGCCCGCGCGGGCAGCACCGAAGGAAACACCGGCCAGTGCAGACCAAACCAACACCCCCCGGAAATGGGCCGGGGCTGTGCCCCGCCGGGCCCCCGGTGCCGCCCGATGACTCGGCAGCAGCCCCCGGGCTCGTCCCGCCTGTCGGGTGGGAGCACAGGCAAAAGCCACCGCGGGCTCGTTTCTGATGCTCTTTAGAAGGGGAATAGGTTTTTATTTACGACCCCCAGAAGCACCTTAACGATTAAAAATGAACGAGCGCGAGCCTCCTCGGAATATTTCCCTTCAGCGTTTCAACGAGTGACAAACATCAAACGGGGAGCCGGGTCCCAGCCGCCTCCCCCGTTAGGGAAGGATCAGCGACCTCTCAAATCCAGCCTGGCAATTGCCGGGAGCCGGGGCACTCCTTCGCTCCGCGTTTCCCCTGGCAGCTCCTCATTTGTCCCCAGTCAAATGTCCTTCAATAATAAATGCCCTTATGCCATTACATTATATTGTGGGTCCTGAACACTTAAGATAAGGATGATGCAATATTAATCTCCTACCGCAGGATCAAAGGGGCCGAGCGCAGCCCAGGCGGCATCCGTCCCCCGACTCTGCCGGTGCCGCCGGACGCGGGGCCTTTCCGCGGGCGCTTTTATGCAAACGAGCCAGGTAAGAGGCGGTTCCGTCCCTTCCCTTGTCCCGTGCATGGCCGGCAGCGTCCCCCGGAGGTCGCCCCTCGGGCTGGAGACCGGTTCCGGCGGCCGTCGGGGCGGCGGGACTGGGGCTCGGTCTAAGCGCGGTGCTGCTGGCTCGGGAGGAGGGATCAGCCTGAACCCCCGGCCAAACCCCGCTGCTTCACAAGCCTTTACGTTCCAGCATGCGACAGCTCCCAAAGCTGTCCTCGGACCAGGTTATTGTCCTCCCGGGCTGCGTTAAGCCTCGCTTAGCCCGTGTTTCTGCTCACCTACCTGAGAGCCTTACAGCCGTGGTGGCCGTTATCTTCCTGCCTGTTTGCTTCTGGAGGACATCGGATCGTGCTTATTCTTACCATGGCAAAGGTGTCACCGCAGCGTCACTTCTGGGGGCTGGTTTTGCCGAGATCTGCACTTTTTGTGACAATTCTGCATTTATTCGTTTGGCCAGGTCTGGAGAAATGGCTTAAAGGTGTAAACCCAGCCGTAAAGGAACTCTCCCAGACTTGCAGTCGTTGTCCCAGAAGCGGGCTCCCGTGGGCTTCTCCTCCCACTCAAACACGCTGACCAGGAGACCTGAAGCTCCTGTTCCTCCTTGCTCCCTGCCCTGTATTCCCAGTTTCCCTGCATGGACACAGCACTGCAGAGGCTCTGCCCGGATTTCCCTCTTTGCAAACCCCGGGTTTATTTCCACCCGGCAGGTGCAGGTTTGTGCCTTGCCCTGCCCCACACACAGGACCCGACACCTCTCCCGAGGCTTGGCTCTGGAGGTCACCTACGAGCTCCTTTAGTCACTGCCGATGCCTGAGCCTTCCCCTGGCTGTGCCGGACTGCGCCGGGGCCTCTCTCACCCTCCCAGGGCACCGGCTCGGTGAGGAGCCGCCTCCAAAGCTCCCTCCGCTCCCTGTCGCTCTCTCCAGGTGCGTGAGGATCAGGACTCCCCGCTTCCTGGCGGACCGCGGGGCTCCTTGTCCTGGTCCGCAGGGCTGGGGGACCTCCCCGGGACACTTCCTTCCTCCCAAGACCACTTCCCACAGGCCAGGCCTGCTGAGGAAGCACAATCCCTTCAGTGAGCCCCTGCACCGGGAGCTGGGCTGGGAGATGCCGGGCGCAGCCGGTGCGTGTCCCGCGGGCATCCCCGGTCTCGGGTTTCTGAACAGTCAGTTCGTTATTTTCTTCCCCACTCCGTGCTCGCTCCTCAATCCGCCTCTCGCCGCCTCCCGGGGGCTGCGCACGGAGGATGAAAGCGCAGAGAACCAAACAAGCCACCGGCGGTGCTCACCCCGTTGATTCTTACACCAAACCTCCCTTCATGCACGGGGGATGGAAAAATGATCCCAGTAATAATGAACAATAAAAACAAGTGCAGGGAGCAAATCAATAGAGGCACATCTGATAGCACGGGAGGTGGGGGGGAGCCCCAGATGTACAAAAGCATGCTGTGGAAAGGGGGGGGGGACGACGGATGATGACAACAGGGAGGTGACAGCCTCGGGATGGGGCATGTGGGGACAACAGGCATGAGAAGGCTGGGGGTGCAGGGGTTTGGGGTGTGCGGGAGGGTGTTGAGGTGTGCAGGGTAGGGTGAGGTGTGGGAGCAAGGCCATACGATCAGCTGGGTTGGAAAAGACCTTTAACACCATCAAGTCCCACATTTGTTTTCCAGAGATACTCAGTGATTTTCAGCTGCAAAAACCCCTTCTTCCAGTGTCTTTTTTTCTCTGCACTTCCCCGCTCCAACGTTTTACTTCTCCCGAGTTTGGGAGGAGGAGGTTCGCCCTCCCCTGGGGACACATCGAGTTTGGGATACAACGTTCCTTAGGCCAGCAGCATCTGATGGAACTGCTTCATGCCATCAGCCCAGCCTCCGCGCAGGGCCCTCTGCCTGGGCTGTGCTCCACACGGCAGGAGGGAGGATCAGCATCCACACCCAGAGATGGGGGACCTCAGGCTGAGGAATGCCATGGCACTGGGGAAGGCGGACGCGGAGTGCCAGCACCCCAGGCAATGTGGTCCTGTTCAGATCACCCCAGTCCAGTTCAATTCAGCCCAACTCAGCCCATTTCAGCCCAGCTGAGCACGGGATCAGTGCTCAGAGCAGCTCCAGGATAGTTCCTGGATGCCCATCTCTGTTCCAAGAAGGGGCATCTGGCCTGGCAGCCCACTCTTCCCAACACCCCGCTGTCCCCAGCATCTCAGCACAGGGACCGGCCTGGCCCCTCTGTCACCCGCTGGCTTGGAGACCCTCTGACAGGAGAGGAAGCCCTGCTGCTCACTGGTGTAAAGCAAGAGGAACTCATTCCAGCCGTAGAGCCCCAGTAGTTATCTCCAGGGCAGGGTATTTTAGAGCAATTCAATGAGTTTGTCTTCAATGACACCAGTTGTGCTTTGCAGTTAGCCTGGAAATGTCAGATACAAATTTATTCCATAACCAAGACATGGCTTAGACTTTGTTTCTTTAAGCAAATTTAGAGGTCTGTTTGGAGACATACGTCACAACATTTTCAATCGAATTTTGAATTGAGGAGCAAAAGAGCACACGAGGAAAATGAAACACTTTGTTTTCAGATCCAAAGGGAATTAAAAATGTACAACAATGCTCCATGAACCCGGATCAGCCGCTGTACGATGGCACTGACACATGGCAAACGTCTCCAACTGCCTGCTGCATGTGGAGTTCCTACACAGAGCGTGCAGTAGGGGTGGCCTCAGAGGCACTGAGACCCAGACCTGCTCCCAGCCACCCTGCCTGTGGGTGCCGGGGCTCAGGTAGGTGTCTGTGGGGCAGGAGGGGCTGTACTGGGTCAGAGCAGGGAGCCCTGGTTGCAGGCGCTGTCAGAGCAGAAGGGGGTGCGCTGGAAATCACCTTTGTCTCAGCTGCAGCTTTGCTGCCTTTGCTGGGGCATTGCTGAGGATTCGTGAAATGTTTCTGGGCCATAAGTGCAATAATCATAAGTTCGGGATCTGGTAACAGTCACCCTGCACCCTGCGCTCCACGGCGACATGCAAGAGGCTCTACAAGCCTCGTGTGCAGAAGGAAGCACCAAGGGGCTGGATGCTGAGGGGTCTGGACTAGACTGCACTGGGCTGCGGCTGGGACCTGCTCTCTGCTCCCCCTGGGTTACACCTTTCCTTGGCAGCTTCTCTTCCCAGGAGAGCAGGAAGCCGGGAGCGGTGGGGAGGTTAATCACTGCCGGCATTTACTTGCTTTTTAAACTTGCATGAGTTTGGAGATCAGAACGGAGAGGAGATGTAGGGCAGATGGATTTGCAGGGAATCCTCTGATTCCCTCCTCCTCGAGGCTGCTGTGTCTCACACCAGTCTTCTGCGAGCTTACACAAGCCCTTGTTTACACAGGGCAAGCCCTGCTGCAGGACCCTGGGAACACTGGGGATGCTGCAGCGGGGGGAGGATGGTGGCACAGGGACTCCTGTGGGGGAGAGGGATGCAATGGGGAGCACACAGTGGTCCAAGGGCTCCCTGGCAACACCCAGGGGTCTTTAGACCATAGAATTTGAGTTGTGAGGCATTTCAACCCTGTTGGCAGCATCAGTGCTTGGTCAGAACATTCCTGGGGTTCTCCGCATAGAGCCAGGCCCCAGCTCTCCCCATCTGCATCCCGTTTGTAACCAACTGCTTCTGAGGTTCGATCCATCCTTGTCTCTTCCCCCCAGAACCAGTGACACCGCCCAGCCCGAATGCGCCAGAGGCTGCACAGTCCCGTCTGCCCCTGGCCACGTGCTGCCAGGAGCCCTTGGGTACCTGGGGTCAGTGCAGGCTGGCGCTGCCCAGGGGATGCAGAGCGATGCTCAGAGCCCCTGCACACGGGGCACATGGGCCAGTCACGCAGTGTCAGTGGCTCTGTGTCGCAGTCGCGTTGGATGCCACGTGCAGGCACCTTAACATGGAAAACGCATTAGCTCCCACCGAGGAAACCTGAGCAAACCAGCCGTGAGGCGCCGTGTCCCGGGATTCCACACCAGTGCCGTTCTGTGGGATGGTGCGGCAGACCCGAGTGGAGCACGAGGAGCCGCTTCGCTCCGATTCACCGCAAGCAAAAGGAGATGGGATTGGGAGCTCCCCCCGGGGCAGCACAGATCCCATCACTCCTGCAGCCCCCCACATGTCACTCCCATGGCCTCTGCCAGCCTCATCCCCCGGGGATGAGGACACTGGGG